TTGCACCAGGGGAGGTTTAGATTTGATATTAGGAAAAATTTCCTCATGGAAAGGGTGGCCAAGTGCTGGCACAGGCTGCCCAGGGCAGTGGTGGAGTCACCATCCATGGAAGTGTTCAAAAAATGTGTAGATGTGGCACTTGGGGACATGGTTTTGCAGTGGAGTTGACAGTGCTGGGGGAACGGTCGGACTTGATGACCTTAGAGGTCTTTTCCAACCTAAAGGATTCTGTGACTCCATGATCTCAGCTGGAGGAGAGCAGGGAAATGGGAGCAAGACTGAGAAAGAAACCTCCAGAGATGCCTGCTCTGAGGATCAGAGCAGGGTCATTTGTCTCCCTTGATTCTTGAAAAGATCATGGGCAGGTGAGAGGCAGGAATATCCTGCTGGATGATGTACCAAGAGAACATGGGGCGTCTTCTTGCCTTTTTTGGTTAGAGGTATCTAAAATATTTCCACTGAAGCTGGAGAGTAAAGAGGAGGAAAGGTCAACCAAAGTGACCACAGTTGTAGAAAATGGCAGCAGCTGGAATTGTGGCTTTATTCCAAAATGGCATTTGGTGTCACTCACGTAGATGATTCTACTGCCCTCTCACAACTTTGAAGGCTGCCGGTAGCTGATGTGTTTCCTTTTGGTTTAAGGGAATGCTTGAACTGGGTCTTCTGCCTGTTTTTTTCTCCTTCCACCCCCGTCCTGACCTGGCCAGACTGCGTCGTCGTCATAATCCCGAGCTGGCTGCCTCGCTGTGCTTCCCAGCCACTAAAACACCAGCGCTGAAAACCACCGGATTAGGTCTTAATGGCAGGATCAAGTCAGCAGGAGATGAGTGGGGAGAAAGCTCCTGCCTACGCAGGTGGACAGGCAGCAGTCCTAGAGAAAACAAGCTGGAAAGCCTAAAATGTCAGAAAAACATCTTCTTTCCTGGCCTCTCTTGCTTTTCTCTGCGTTTAATACAGCTTTCATTTTCCAAGGGTCAGAAAACTCTGGCCTGAGTTTTGTGAAGGCGATGTTGAGGAGTCAGAGGTGTCTAAACATTTCCTCCCTTACAGATGAAAATGTTGTCTTGAGTGGTGGACGTTCTGTCCAAGATGTTAATTCCCAACACTAAATTCTGCGACCCCCACCAGAAATCTGGGCTGTGCTGGAGGATGCTGGGGGTCTGTGATTGTCTGTACCACCTGTGCTGGCAGTGCTCCTGGAACACAAAGAGCCTGGGAAGTGTGTTGGATATTTTCCAGGGTGGCTTTGCCAATGAGCAGTGGGATGCTCCAGAGGAGGGTCTCAGGGGTTGTCCTCTGGGCAGGTGGCACAGCGTCCCCGTACTGACCAGTCCTGTGGCCACCCTGCTCTTTAGGTCATCCAGGGCTCTTGGTCAACAGGGCTCCGAGGTGTTGGAGTTTATCAGCCTACACTGACCAAGAGAAGTTGTGGCTGCTCCATCCCTGGAATTGTTCAAGGCCAGGTTGGACGGGGTTTGGAGCAACCTGGGATAGTGGAAGGTGTCCCTGCCCACGGCAGAGGGTGGAATGAGGTGAGCTTTAAGGTTCCTTCCAGGCCAAACCATTCTGTGGTTCTATGATGCACCTGTGAAGAAAGTGTGATTTTTCTGGAGGCCGTGTGATGGTGGGGGGGGTGATGGAAACTTTCTCCTCTGAGTTTGCTTGGCAGAGCCTGTGAACTTTCCATCCAAACCTTTCAGGGAGGGGGTGGGTTATGCCGGTGGGACATCTTTGCACCGAGTTGTCCTCTCTGTTTTCAGACAGCTTGAACAAAACATTGCAATCCCCCCAAATGAATACCTGTATGAAGCAAAGATTCTGTCACACATGGCTCATGCACCCAGGGAGCCCTAGCAGTGCATGGGAGGAGGAAGAGGAGGAGGATGAGGACTGGCTTCAGCAAGCGTGGAGCCAGCAATGTCTCCCAGCCCCTGCTGGAGCTCAGCTGAGCCCCATGTTATCAGGGATAGCATTCCTGATATGATATCAGGGGTATGATTCCAGCATCCATTTTTCCAGCTCCTGTGTGGAAACCAGGCTGGAGAACAAAGTCCAGCCCAGAGCTCCATTTCCCTCCTCCTATTCTGCTTCATGTGCCATCTCCTGTCTAGGACATGATCGTGTTATTAAATTAATTTAATACACAGAATTCAGATTTCCCCTAGTCAGAAGCTTTTGCTCAAATTTTAGGAAAGTGTCAGTATTTGTGAGGTATCAGCAAGCATAAATACAAGAGTGCCAGCTTAGGCAATTGCTTCAGTCTCTAAAAAATGGGAAAGGGATAAAATTGGAGGGTGTATGTTCACATGTGGGGAAGAGGAGTCTTCCTTCTGTTCTGGGTTTCCGTTTTCCTTCCTCCTCCTTGGTCACTGGTGCCTGAGCTGCTTTTTCAGACATAGGGAATTCCTGATAGATTAAGGAAATTTCTGAGAATTTAATATATTTAACCTCAAAACCGAGGAAGAGCCCAGATTGGCTCTGAGAACTGATGATATCTTCTCCAAGCACTCTCACAAAGGCAGGTGCAATTAAAAGGCTTATTTGTTGTGGGATGGGATCACCCTTTGGAAGGGCATTGTCCAGCTGTTTTGGGGCAGATCTCCCCTTGCTGGGGTGCAAAGAGTGTTGGCTGCTCTCCGTGCATGGAAGGAGGGTGCTCCAGTCCTCCGCCTGCGGTTGCCCAGGTGTGATGCTTGGCAGAGCCTGGCTTAGTTCAATGTGCAGCTTCCCTTTGGGGGCCAAACTCGGTGCTTCTGTCTCCTAATTCCACATCTATGACCTCTGCGGGGCTGCACCTGCTTCTCACTGGGTTGGAGTTGGGCCCTGGATCTACTCTATCCATTGGGCTGGATGTAATGGTGTCCTTAGGGCTTTCAAGTGGGTGGACAAAGGAGCCATTTTGAAGCTGCTCTGAACAAGGGGGAATACGATGGTGAAGAGGAAGGGTCCGAGATGGGTCTCTCTCCAGGCAGAGAATGCTCTGAAATGCTCAAAATGGCATTTTGGGGGGTAATTTTTCCCAGCCCTTTGTCCATGAAGAATGAGGTCTGTGGAGGGAGGCAGGCTCCCAGAGTAAATGCTTCGGCTCTATTGTTCCCATCATTTCCTTTGAGCTCGTGAATCCCCCTATGAAACACTTACCTTTCACTAGTATGATTAAGAAAAGGCCAATGTAGCTTTCCCGCTCACTGGAGCATGAAGCGTGTTTAATTTAATAATGCTGATAAATCTTAAAGCCAGGAGCATTTGGCTAACACATGACCCACTTTTTCAATCAATTGGAAGCATTTACATAACGGCCTGATGCAGGGTTCCTCCTGCGAGGGATGTGGAGCCAGGGATGGCAGACACGCTCTCTATGAAAGGACAAGGGGGAAAGGCTTTAAACTGAAAGAGGGGAGGATTAGATAAGATTTTAGGAAGGGATTCTTCCCTGTGAGGATGGGGAGGCCCTGGCACAGGTTGCCCAGAGAAGCTGTGGCTGCCCCATCCCTGGAAGTGTCCACGACCAGGTTGGATGGGGCTTGGAGCAATCTGGTCTCGTGGAAGGTGTCCCTGCCCATGGCAGGGGGCTGGAATGAGGTGATCTTTAAGGTTCCTTCCAACCTAAACCATTCCATCATTCTATGATTCTATGTCAAGCCAAAAGGTACTGATAAGGGTGGGAAGGAGAATATTTCTGAGGAAGAAGGTGATGCCATTGGAGACCAGAGTGATGGGAATGGGCTGAGAAACTATAACACATGGGCAGGGACACCTTCCACTAGCCCAGGTTGCTCCAAGCTTTGTCCAACCTGGCCTTGAACACTTCAGGGGTGAGGAATGCACAACTCCCCTGGGCAATCTATTCAGTGATCCTGTTTCAGTGTTCAACTCATTTCATTTCTTATCCTTCTTGTGAGGATTTCATCCCTTTTTTCATTTGTAACATCCAGCAGCCTCAAGACCTGTGTTTACACACAGGTCACAAGCAACCTCATTCCCAGTGAGCTGGTGTCCTTTAGCTCTAGGGAATGTCATCTCCCTGCAAACCACATGGTTTTATCCATTTTAGGTTTCATAATAACTGCTAGGAAGAAGTTTTACATCAAACCTGTCTCCCAGCCATGGTTTGTGCATTGCTGTTGTTTATTCATCCCGACTTGCATTAAAGCAATACTTGAGAACTGGTTTATCTCCCATTTTTTTGGTCACGTAAGTCCCTGTCTGAGCAAAGGGAAATGCCAGATGCTTGTAAGCAGGATGAAAAATCTCCCATCTGATACAGACTGAGGGATTAAATACCACAAGGGAGAATTGCTCCGTATCTCTCAGTGTTGCACGTAGAAGGATGCTGGCACCTCCCTCTGGGACTGCTCTCCCCCTGCACTGGGCTGCGGGGACATTTCATATGCCACGTCCTTGTGCAGAGATACTCCTAAAGAGCCATCAGGAATGAAAGATGAAGGATTTGTTACCATTCTGTGATTTATTTTTTTTTCCCCTTTGCCTTCAAAACATAGGTGCCCCCCCCCCAGAGGGCAGAGGCGGAAAGAGGGAGACAATGGAAAAAGAAAGGAACATGATTTCATTAGATACATGTAATATGAATGGCTGGAAGTGGCGTGGTCCACACAATGGCCAGCTGGGGAGCTCACAGGTCAGGATGTGTGGCAATCGGGATGCCATTTCCATTCCTCCCCGTTCTGTGCTCCTGGAGTGAGATGGATAGTTCCTGGCTTCTTAAAAACTGGCTTTTGGTTTTCTGAGCGCCCATTCATGCTGGAAATGGTGAATTTTGGTTTGCTAGATAGATGCTGTGTGTCTTTTAAAGTCCCAGTTCAGCCACTGGTGTTTGGCCAGGCTGCTCATCCAATGCCCTGGTCCTTCATCCGCAGTTGCTTTTTGGCACCTGGGACACTGGAGTCTTTGCTCCCATGCTCTGCTGCTTCTGCAGTGTCCATCCCAAGCCGAGGAACCTGCCTGTTCTAAGAGCAAACCTTTCCCCTCTCTGTGCCCAGGTGATACGGCCGTGGTGCTGTCTCTGTGCCAGGGCTGCCCTCCCAGCTATTGCACGTCTCCCGTCCCCCGGTAGGAAATGGAGTCCAAGGTCTCTGAAGGCGGCCTGAACGTCACCCTCACCATCCGACTGCTGATGCACGGCAAGGTAAGGGGCTCCCACAGAGGGAGTTTCTTCACAGATCCCTTTCCCACCTCCGCCTGTGCCCGAGTCCAGCCCCACAGAGTGTCACAGCCCCGGGAATAGCCGTCCTCCTGCTGATGGGGGGGTGGCATGGTGCTCCTGGTCTCTCTCATACCTGCCCCCCACCCTGTTCTTCTGCTGGGGATGGTGTCCACCAGGTCTTTACTTCATTATGAGGGTGGGCCAGACTGTTGTCACATTTTCTAATGTCAATTCCTTTGTTTTTTGTGCTTATTTTTTGTGTAGGAAGTCGGAAGCATCATTGGGAAGGTAAGGATGTCTTTCAATGCAGCATTAATGCTGTTGCCTGTACCTGTGGTGTGGTAGATGCCAGTCACCTCTTCCCTGTGATGTCCTGAAAAGTCTGGGGTGCATGAGCTGGTTGCTGCATTTGTGAGCCCGAAATTAGGAAACACCAATGCAGGGATCAAAGACCATTCCCCTAAAAACCCCACCAACCACCAGACTTCCCCAGCGCTGTTCCCAGATGTTTCCCAGGGGTGGTGACTGGGAGTTTGCAGTCATGTTGCTCTGATATTTTAATCAAACAGCTTTATTAACAGATAATACAAATGTCACATAGACCCATTTAAAATATAATTTAAATGGAGGCCACAGGACTCCATTTACCTTGTGCAGAAAAGCTTCACGAGGTGCTCTGCTCTCTGGTGACAATGGTGGTTTGGAAAGTGCTGGCTATATAGGATTAGGGGTTTTTTTGGGGATGGTTTTAAAAGGCAGGTTTATGGTGGCAAAGATTTGCAGCATAAACATATTTTCCCTATATGCTTGTGCCTTATTTTTCCAGCAGCCTGTCCAACTCTGGGAATATTCACAGTTGTGAATCTGTATATATTTATATATATATCTTATATATATATCTTATATATATCTTTGATGATTTACACACTCATCTCTTCAGCTGACCGTCATGTGGGGATGCAGGGTCAGGCATCACTGAGCTGCCCATGCTTTTGGCTACGTGTTGCCATGTTTTAGGGAGATGCATGTTTGGAACGGTCGTTTTGAAGGTGGAAAGTCTTGGATTTTCAGTAATCACCTGTTTTTCTACTCTTATTCCAGAAAGGAGAGACCGTGAAGAAGATGCGTGAGGAGGTGAGTGACCTGCTCTGTGACTGATGTGCAGCAGGAAGGGAGAGCAGAGTGGCCAGAGCTGTACATTGCCCTGTGCAATACGTGCAGTGATTCCCAGGGTCAGGACAAGCAAGCCAGCTGCCCCTAGAGCTCTTTGGACCAGCTTCCTCCCTCCACACTCAAATAAACTCCTATCACAATTAAAGGGAATTTTCCAGAGCCAAGAATTTGCTCTTAATGAAACATTGAAACTAATTCACTCATAAGATGCTTTGGGTTTGTCCAAAGTCTTTGTGTCTGCAGCTCCTAGGAAGTTATCAGGGCAGTGAGCAGCACTCTTCTTTTCACAAGCAATGACCCCATGAGCTGGTCTTGCCTCAATCCCATGGGTTTCCATTACAGTAAAAGATTGGAAACTCTTTCTGAGGGTTGGGATAAGATAGTGCTGGAATCATTGCAGATGAGGGGTGGGAGTTTGGAAGGTTAGATGGGATAGGCTGGGACAGGTGACGACCAGGACAATCAGGCTGAGAGAGGACCCGACCCGAGTGCTTGGCTGTGGCTATTCCAGGACTGCTTTTCTCTCTCCAGAGTGGGGCAAGGATCAACATCTCGGAGGGAAACTGTCCTGAGCGGATTGTGACCATCACTGGCCCCACTGATGCCATATTCAAGGCTTTTGCCATGATCGCCTACAAATTCGAGGAGGTGAGAAATGTGAGCCATCCCACAGCTGGGGACAGCAGTGGAGATGGGCCTGGGGACCTCTAGCCCATATGTGCTTGGTTGGACTTGCTTAACTGGGACCTGGCCTCGGCACAGAACCTTCCAGACATCTCTGACTAGGCAAGAACTGAGCATAAGTCTGATGAGGAGCAGCTGAGGGAGCTGGGGAGGGCTCATCCTGCAGAAAAGGAGGCTCAGGGGGACCTTCTTGCTCTCTACAACTTCCTGACAGGAGGGTGTAACCAGGTAGGGGTCGATCTCTTCTCCAATGTAATAAGTGATGGGACCAGAGGAAATGGCCTCAAGTTGCACCAGGCAAGGTTTAGATTGGATGTTAGGGAAATTCTTCACTGGAAGGGTGGTCAGGCATTGGAACAGGCTGCCCAGGGCAGTGGTGGAGTCACCATCCCTGAAAGTGTTCAAAAGGTGTGTGGATGTGGCACCTGGGGACACGGATGACTGGTGGGCTTGACAGTGCTGGGTTAATGGTTGGACTTGATGATCTTAGAGGGTTTTTCCAGCCTTAATGATTCCATGATTCTGTGATTCAGTGAACTGTCCTGGAGGTCCCACAGTTAATTAACTGCAGGGAGGTGCAGTGATGCAGCTGCAGACAGAGACCAGCCACGTCTGGGGGACATGACCCCTCCTCTCTAGCCCAGAGCACTTGGGTTGGCATCTGGTCGGGTACCAGGGGCTCACGTGCTGCACTCTTCCTTCCCAAGGACATAACCAACTCCATGAGCAACAGCACTGCTACCAGCAAACCTCCAGTGACACTGAGACTGGTCGTGCCAGCGAGTCAGTGTGGCTCGCTGATCGGCAAGGGAGGCTCCAAGATCAAGGAGATCAGAGAGGTAAGTCAGACTCGAACGAAGCCACTTCGTTATTGCACGTCACCGCAGCTCCTCGGAGCTGACCCGCGACCAAGGGGGAGCTGCCTTGGAAAAGGGGATCCTTATGCTGCATCATGCATCACGTTGCTTCCCAGGGTAGTCTTGCTCATGTAGGAACAGCATCCCATGGGATGTGCGGGGCAGCGCGGCTCTCAGGAGGTGCGTGGCGTCGGAGCTGGAGCTGGCTGCGAGGGAAGGTGTTCAGCTGTGGGATTTGTCCTTTCTCTCTTTCTGTCTCCAGTCAACAGGTGCTCAGGTTCAAGTGGCGGGGGACATGCTGCCCAACTCCACGGAGCGGGCGGTGACAATCTCGGGGACACCCGACGCAATTATCCAGTGTGTCAAACAGATCTGTGTGGTGATGCTGGAGGTACAGTCTGTAACAAAGGGGGTAAAGTACATAAGGAAAAAAATCCCAGCTGGCACCACAACAGCACTGGGAGCTGTGGAGCGTGTCTCTCGTCCCCTTCACCACGCGTTGTTGGACCACTCTCATTTCCTGGTACCTCCATTGGAAACCCACCCAGTGTTTTTTTCCCACCACTATCTGTTGTTTCTAGAGTCTCACACTGGAAGCCTGCCTGGTCGGGTGCCCCGAAGGAGATGGTTTGTGCCGGAGCAGAGGGTGGCTTGAGGAGAGAGGGGTGCCAGGTGGGCTGGGACAGCCTAGCCTGGTGTCCCAGCAGCATCCAGGGTGCCATGAGAAGGAGATGGGGGCTGCAGCCCCTCCTCCAAGCACCTGGTCTCCTCTGCACAGGGGTCACAGTGCCCCACAAGGACAACAGTCGGGAGGAGGAGTAGGCCAGTGCACCCCTTGTGCTGGGGGAGCTGGGAACACAGAGCTGAGCTCCAGTGAGGCACAGTGGGAACGTAGTGAGGAAGGCTGGTGGAGAGCAGGGACTGTAGGGCACATGGATGTATGTCCAAGGTGGCATTTTCAGGGATAAATGCTGACCAGCAGAGCTTGGAGATCTCTGCCATGGAAGGATGCTGCTATACCATTGGCTTATTGCTGGAGATTACCACAGCCCACAGGTCCCACATCCACACCTGCCATCTCAGATGGGAGAAGCTCCAGGAGGAAAGCCCTCGGGACACAGGATGTTGACACCCTCTGCTCCTGGTGCCTCCCAGAGACAGACAAAGCAGGGACCAACGTCAGGCCCCTCTGCCTGGCTGCACAGCCCTTTTGTGGTAGGCAGGAGCACATTTCCCAATAGAAAAGCTTCAGCTGGGGATGGCAAGGCTTGGTGGAGGCAAAGCAAAGCCAAATTAAAGCACCTTCAGCTTGGCAGCAGCACAGCTCAGGAGGAATAGCCAGGAGCCACATTACCCATCACGACTGGCTGTGATGCCACACAGCCACACTAGCAGCTACACTGCTGCTAGAGGAAGTTTAGGCACATGATGCCTCTGGGTCATGGACTGCAGCAGAGATGAGCCTGAGGTGATGCTTGCAGGTGTGTTACAAAGTGTTTCCTGGATGCTCTTCTCACAAAGCAAGAGGTGCTGCTCCTCTGTATGGCTCAGCAATTAGAAAGGGGAAAACCCACGGAGTCTTCTTGCAGTCTGAAATCTGGGAAGTTCCCTGACTTTAACAGTTCAGAGAGATGCTCCTTATCTCCGTTCAGTCTTACATAGATAATCCTGACTCATCCTCTCCAAGATTTGTAACGCAATAGAAGAACAAGGAGGCTTGGGATGATAGAGATGTGCTTTGATCATACAGCTTTCCCACAGGCAGGTGCTTAGCAGGAGGATTTAGATATGCTGTTTGCCTTCAAGTAGATGTCTAGAAGAATGTACAGAAAAAAAAGCAGAGTTTTCCATGAGATCATGTAATTTATATTGCTTTTCCTTATATAGCAGTCAGCGGGTCATTTCGTTTTGGGTAGAAGCAGGGGAGCTGAAATCTCTCCTGATTCCTAAAAACCTCCCTGTTTTCTGTGGCCTGTTCATTATGCTCAAGTGAAAACCAACACAGAGAACTTGGGTGAGCAGCTCCCGTGCACCGCACCATGGGATGACTCACTACAGCTCTGCTCCAACCTACACAGGGACCAGACAGGCCACAGCAGCCAGGAGCAAGATCAGAGAGTCATGGAATCGTGGAATGGCTTGGGTTGGAAGGGACCTTAAAGACCTTCTAGTTCCAACCCCTTGCCATGGCAGTGACACTTCCCACGTGACCACAGTGACAGTGCCTCGCAGCACCCGCTGCACGGCCATCCACGTCCCAGCTCGGATGGCCGTGGACCAAACCAAGTCCTGAAGGTGACCCTGACCCGCTGGTGAGGAAGATGAGGGCGGTCAAAGAGCTTGAGCAGTGTGCCAGGTCGCTCAGATGGGCTGTACCTCCCCACTCTGCTGCTTGAGGGCCTCCTCGGGGTGTTTTGAGGAGGGTTCCAGGAGCCTAGACCAGGTGACGGGGTTTGCGCAGAGCAGAGCGAAGGTGAGGGAGGCAGCAGAGGTCCAGGAAGCGATTTAGGGGCCCGTGCCGTGGCAGGGGATCTCCCGTACCCCAGGTTGTCCTCGTTGTCCATGAAACGCTGCTTTCCCTTGTGTCCTCCTGTCCAGAAACGCGGTGTTACTGGTGCGGGTGTTGCTGCCGGCGGCCCCGGGGGCCGCGCTCCGTTAGGTGCTTTCTAACACTCTTTTTGCCGCCGTTTCAGGAAAGCTGTTCTAATGTTCTCTCTCCCTCTCCTTATCCCTTTTCCTAGTCCCCACCAAAAGGTGCCACCATTCCCTACCGCCCAAAGCCCGCCTCCACCCCTGTCATTTTTGCAGGTGGTCAGGTAAGAGCCGACCCGCTTGCAGCCTCCACTGCCAACCTCAGCCTTTTACTGCAGCACCAGCCGCTGCCCGTTAGTGCACTCAGGTTTCTTGCCTTCTGACTTGCATGGTGTCATCCCATCCGTTGTGTGCCATGGCAGCTGGACTGAAAGCTCTTGGTAGAGCCGATGGCTTACCTCCTCTAATGGATGCTGGAGGCTGAGAAGAAGGAAGGGGCCAGCCCAGAAAGACAGGGTGTTAGCTCTGCTGGGTGCTCACACACAAAGAAAAGCCTGGAATTTGCTTCACTAGACCCAAATTCAGTATTTGTCAGCGGTTAAGAAGGAGAAAATTAGAAAAGCATCACTGAACAAGAGGCCGTGACCGTTTTCTGGCATCTCCAGCCCAATTAAAAATACCTTTGCGTAGCTGTAATGGATCCAAGATAGGAGGGGTTTATCCCAGCTCCTGCAGGGCTGTGCTGAAACTCTGCTCCGGGCAGCCTCTGTGGAAGAGTCGTGTCCCCATTCCTCAGGATGCTCAGCCAGTTTGGGGTCCTGCTTCCCCCCTAGAGGAGAGCCTGCCTTGCATTGCCCTCGGTGACATTGCAGCCTTGCAGACGCGACGTGCTATTTGTAGCCACCCTTGGGGACATTTTGCCTTTGCAGGATAACTGTGGCACGGATGTGCCACGGGAGCTGGAGGTTATTCTGCAAACAAAAATCAGCAGAAACAAGAGCAGTTTTGAGCAGACAGCTGTTTCTAAACAGGGAACTTGCACCATTGCTTTTTCCACCTCATCTCCTCACCTCACCCGGTGACTGAGGACCTGCCTGTAGATGCCACCATGCTGTGGTGCATCAGATCTAGCAGGAGATGTAGCTTCCCAAGAGCTCCAGCAGCCAGGTAGAGCCAGCACCATGAAACCACAGCTGATGCCACCCAGAGCAGCTCCAAACGAGTTATTTCATTTCTCCCCAACCATAATAAATAGAAGGACAAACTAAGGATGGGAGCAAAGCCCAAAGCACACGCTATTTCAGGCTGAATTAGTCATTGCCAGGATCAGGAGGAGTGTGTCACTCAGTCTGAGCAGCCATCCTGGAAAAGAGCTTTGAGTCCAGCTGCTTGGTGAACTATCTTCTCAAAAGGGAGAGTAAGATGGAGGTAGCATTTCTCCTGCTGGTGAACGGTTGGTGTCTTGGACAGAAGTGATGTCACGGGAAGAAGCAACCATCTCTGCAATGAGAGCTCTTCCCAAGGCTGGGAGCCCTTTGGCTCTGCCCAAGGGGTGGCACGGGGTGGGTGGGCAGAGGACAGCCAGCGACAGTGGTGGCAGGTGTTTGGGGTGGGATAAGCCTTCAGGAGCTCAGCAGGCTGAGGGATGCAGCAGCTGACGGCAGCTGCCAAAGGGACCAGCCCCATTGTCCATGGGCAACGTCAGAGTTGAGTTGCATCTGTCCAAGACATCTTCCTGCCCTTAATTGCCTTTTTTCACTCAATTTTTCTATTCAAAAAACAATGACCAAATTGCACCACCAGGACAGGCAACTCTACAGTGAAGCCTCTGCCATATCCCCATCATGCCAAGATGTCGGTGGGCACTGGGACAGCCATTTCTGGTTTCCTCCTTCATGATTTTGTGGGTTTTCCCCACACAAGGCACTTTGCTGTTTGCAAACAATGTGGCAAATTTGCAGAAGGTTCCAAGGTTTTGTTTTTTTCTTTTTTTCTTGGCAGTCTTTACTCTCCCTTTTCAAAGTGTTGTCCATCTCTTTTGTCATTTCTTTCAGAATCATCTGAATAATGTGTCAACCAGTGAGATATGTTTTGCTAGCTGGTTAAGTCCTAAATATTGGGCTCTCTAGTATCTGGCTCTTCACCCACATCCGTGCTTATTTTTGGGTTATTTCCAAAAAAAAGTGGAGAAAGGATTGCTACAAAGGATGGGGAAAACACACAAAGCCACTTGCCTGGCAGATATCTGCATGGATTTATCAATTATGGCTGGCGAAAGGCATCGCAGTGAGGGGGCCTAGCCCCGAGCCCTCGCCTCAATGCCTTTCCAATGCCCCAGCAGAGCACTGGAATATACTGGGTGGATGCTGGGCATCCACTGGGAGTTGTGCACCTGAAAACATGGAGAGGCCCACGTCACTGGCTTGCTTTCTAGGATCACACTAAGGTGTGAAGGGCAGCGGTGATGTCACTGTGCACCTGCCACGCAGTTAATTCTGGTTATCATTGAATCGCAGAATGGTTTGGGTTGGAAGGGACATTAAAGATTGTCCAGTTCCAACCCCACTGCCACTAATCCTTATTTTTGGTACGGCAAAGACCAGTCACAACCTGAGATTCCTGCTCCATCCAATACTGGCGCCTTTAAAGAGCTGTTTATTTCCTTTCGAAAAAGCCAAAGTGAGCCCAAGCCCTTGAAGTCAGGTAGCTCAGAATTGTGCCGGGTTGGATCGGGGGTGTACATCTCCCTCCTGCCCCAAGGATTTGCTGCCCTGGGGAATCTAATGTGGCAGAGGGGGTCCTGGCAGAGGGATGGAGTTCTCTCACCATGTCCTACCAGCCCTAGTAACATCTTTTTTTTTCCTTTGCAGGCCTATACAATTCAGGGACAATACGCTATTCCACACCCGGATGTGAGTTTTACCCTAATTTTTCTTATACCCTTTTCTGTCACCTGCATGCTACTGTTAATTCACATGATATTAATATTAGCCAATAATATTAATAACGTATTTTCAAAGTAACTGGCCGTTTATAGTATCTGTAATACCTCGAGTAGCCTTTTAACCTGTTAGCACTAAACTTTATTACTTCCGAGGACTTGGCCTGATGCTAAATTGTTTCCATTGTTCAGTGCTATCCCTTCATTTTGAGAAAAACCATACTCTATGCATTTTGTGCCTCAAAATGATCAAAACAAGCAAAAAAAAAAAAAAAAGAGGAAAAAACAATACTTTCCCCTCTATTTCCCCCTTGTCATTAAAATGTTGGTAAGCCAAGGGTGTATTTAGTTGCTGAGTGCCTTGGTGGAGTGGGGAGAAGTCAGAGCTCCAGGGGGTTCATGCTTGAGGCCGGGGCAGGGGGACATGCCTTTCAGGGAGGGGAAGGGCAGAGGGACCTCCTAGAAGTTGGGAGCCTCTGCATCTCCCAGAGGGATGGAGAGGGTGCTGCATCTCACCTTGCTGAGGGCTCTGTGCCTCCCCACAGGAGCGGGACCCCAGACTGATGTGGTCACCCCAGGTTTGATGGCTGTCTCGGTGGGTTTCGGCAGCTGTCACCCAGGGCAGGGACATTGTGGGGACAGTCCCCACTCCATCTCAGGCTCCTTGGTGCAGGGGCAGGCACCACTCTGACTCGGGGTTTGCTGATACTCAGATCCCTTGGGCTCCCAGTCCTGTGGCAGGTCAGGGGGACGCAACACGTTTGCGGGGGGACGCGTAGGGATCGTCAGCTGGAATGTCTGCGCCTAAAATCACCAACAGAATTAGAAAATGAGTCTGTTTGAAGGATTTCTGTGTGGAAAGCAGTGAAGCACTAGGATGCCAGCAGCTCCTTGCCGGCATCAGGCAGCTGCTTGGCTTCTGGGGTAGTCACAGCTCTTGGAAAATGCTGGGACTTTCTAAATGTGCTTTCGAGGGGATAAAATACCTGTTGAGTTCCACTGCGGGGGTCCTTCTTGCTGCGAGTCAGGGGTCTGCAGTGGGGCTGAGGATGTGGTGATGGGTGGAAAGCCTTCTCCAGCCATCCCAGCCATGGGTAGGGTATGATGTAGCTCGGTGTTCCTCTTTCTAGTGGGTGCATTGGGTATTAAATCACAGAATTGCTTTTTCCATAACTGAGAAGGTGGCAAGGCTGGTTGATACCATGAATGCCCTCTCCACATGGGGACCTTTAGGAGCTGTAGGCTGGGGTTTTGTCTTAGGAGAAGTGATTTCACTGGAATTAGTGGAATCCAGGCTTTGGCTTTCCATGTGACACCAGTATGTGTGTACTCTGAATAGCCTGCTGTGATGGTTGATAAGAAATATTCTTAGTTATGTGCTGTTTGCTTTTGCTCCAGAAGCAAGAAATAACCTGCGTATTTAGGGTAGGTCAATATAGTCTTTATCCCAGTTTTTCTTTGCAAGTGGTGCTGACAACTTAGTCTTTTCCTTCTTACTATATTCCTCTGACTGTCAGGATTAAAATACATGTAATATATTTGCTGGCTGAGCTCTGCCCCACACCCGGCAGATTTACTGAGACCTGGGAAGAATTGTTGGTACAGGGGCCACGCACTCCATCCTTACTCTTATAGTGCTCTCACAGTGATTGGTCATTTTAAACAATGCTCAGTGCAGAATCCAGTCTTGAATGGGATTTTAGGGCATTTTAAACACATTCTAGGTGTCTGTGTTTCATGGGTGCCCCTGGCAAAGCAGGAAGAATTTTGAATGCCAAATGCATGTTCCTGCCTTTATTTTCTCCCCTGGAAAAAAACCCCTCAGGACAGGGGCAGCTTTGGCTCATGATGAGCTTCAACATTGCCTGAGTACTTGTAGGTGGTTTGGGATGTGATGTGATGTACTTGTAGCTGCCTGCCTTCCCAAAAGTTGTGGGATCCTAGAGTCACAGAAGGGTTTGGGTTGGAAGGGCCCTTAAAACTCATCTCATTCCAACCCCTTGCCATGGGCAGGGACACCTTTCACTATCCCAGGTTGCTGCAAGTCCCATCCAACATGACCTTGAAGACTTCCAGGGATGGGGCAGCCACAGCTTCTCTGGGCAACCTGTGCCAGGGCCTCCCCACCCTCACAGGGAAGAATTCCTTCTGAAATAATATCCTGTCTAACCCTGCCCTCTGTCAGTGGGAAGCCATTCTGCCTTGTCCTGTCACTCCAGGCCTTTGTCCCAAGTCCCTCTCCAGCTCTCTTGGAGCCCCTCTAGGCACTGGAAGAGGCTCTAAGTTCTCCCTGGAGCCTTTTCTTCTGCAGGCTGAACACCCCCAGCTCTCCCAGCCTGTCTCCAGAGCAGAGAGGCTCCAGCCCTCAGAGCAAATCCGTGGCCTCCTGTGGACTCATTCCAACAGATCCATGTCCTTGCTGTGCTGGGGACCCCAGAGCTGGATCCAGCACCCCAGGTACAGTCTCACCAGAACAGAGGAGAAGAATCCCCTCCCTTGACCATGGAAGATGAGCTGGAAGAGATGGACATAGCAGCTTTCACTGTGACACCTGGATGCAGCCATGTTCTCCTCTCACAGGCTTATTTATTGTTCTGATTATGGAAGCTGGCTAAATAGCACTATCCAAACTATGTCTGAAAAGTCTACTAGATCAGTACTAGAAAGGATTTTGATGTTTCCCCCATTGGGCAAAGCAGGACCCCTGCCCCAGGGCATGGTTGAAGCCCAAAGGGCAAAGAGGTTTCATTCAGAGTCCCGCCAGCGTCCAGGGACCAGGTGTCATGAGGAATTCCAGAATCAGGGTGCACCTCTAGGAAACAGGATAGTTCTGAAGTTATAAAGCAGTGGATGCTGATGTCCCTGCTCACTGCAGGAGCAGTGGCACGCTCAGTAATATCTGGAGACAGCTATGTTTTGGCAGGAACCCACCATATCACACCTTTGGCTAAAATAAGCCAAGTAAAGCCAAAAGAAGCACGGGGAGGGATGTGCAGGCACCTCTTTTCGTGGAGTGGTGAGACCTCTCACTTGAGCTGGTGGAGGTTGGAAGTCTTCATGCCTCTGCAGGGAGAACAGGGATCCCATGGGTACCTCTCTGGGGATTTGCAGGTGTTTCACCCCTTCCCACTGCCTCCCTCCAGCCTCCCCCCAGTGTGTGCAGCCTCCCGGGTCAGTTCTTCCCAGCATTTCCCCCTCACTGTTGCCAGCCAGACCTCCCCGCCCTCTGTCCCCAGCCATGCTGCAGGAGCAAGGAGGAGTTTGTTGACCCCCAAAACCTTGAAATTATAACTCCTGCCTCTCCATTGCCAGGGATAATGGGCACAACAAGTGGTTTGAGTTTGGGGGATGATGCGATGCTGGCAACCCCCCAGCACCTGTGAAAAGTGGGAGGTGATAAAGAGCCTCCCTCCTGCTCCCTGCCAGACTTCAGCCCAGTTTGGTTTGGTTTTTTTTTCTTTTATTCTTTTTTTGGTTGGTTTGTTGTTTGTTGGGGTTTTTTGTTTGTTTTTTTTTTTTTGATTTGGAGCAGTGAAACCGAGCACAAAATGTATTCCAAACAAACACCTCTCTATGCAACCGCTTCCCGACCGGGCACCAAAACCTACCCAGCACAACAAGGGATGGAAGGATCTGAAATACCTACTGGTCGTGGCTGAAGCCCATAATTCCCCGTGTTCCTAATGAGCTGACATTTAGAAACGCAGTTTATCCATCTCCCAGAGGCACTTACCATCGGAGGCACAGCACGAGAACGTGTGCTGTGGGGACAAGCGGTGACAGTGTGGCTCTGGTGACACAAAGAGGGTCTCTGGGTGCTGGTTGTGATGCCCACCAGCTGGCCCTGTGCCAAGGCGGAGGAGCTGAAACTAAGAATGGGCTTCTTCCTGGTATCGTACTTCAGACCCTGACCAAGCACTTCTGCCAAAGATTTGGACTTTATTGCACTATACCCAGGCCAAGTCCTTCTGCTAATGTTTTTGCCATGTCTCACCATGGCTTCCTGCTTTGGTTTTGGGGTTTTTTTTCATTAATTTTTGGTTTGTTTTCCTTTTTCTTTTTTTTCCCCTTCCGTTATAATTTTGTTCTTGCTTTTCGGTGTGACTTGTTGTACTCTATGACAATAACCTTCTTAGCTCTAATGTCCCTCCTACCCCTCAGCAGTTGACCAAGCTCCACCAGTTGGCTATGCAGCAAACCCCCTTTACTCCCCTTGGACAGACCACCCCCGCTTTCCCTGGTACGTACCCACACGCCCTTTCAAGATATCCTTCTCTTACCTGTAGAGTTTCTCTCTGTTTCTAAACTCATGCTATTTAACGGAAATGAGCAGGGCAAGTAAAAAGTTGCAATGTCCACGGGGAAAGGCTAACTAGAGATGGATATTTTGGGGGTCCTCAAGGGCGAGCTCTCAGCCCTTTGCCGTGCATGCCTGGACTCGCTCCCAGCTTTGCTGGCTTTCCCAGCAGAAGTGATGAGCACCATCCTTCCCTTCGCGGAGGAGGCAGCATCCCCTGCCACACGCTGATCCGGACCCCAGTGGGACATCCCCGCTTTCCCGGGGGGGAGCGGCTCGGCGCCGGCCGGGGATGCTGCCTCGGCGTGTGTGGGGAGCGTTGCCGAGCCAGGCAGGATGGCACTCCTGCAACGGGAAGGAGTTGTGGCTGTAGGAGGCCGCGTTGACAGGAGCACAGCCAGCCCCGGCGTGGCTCAGAGCCTTGTCCTCAAGGCTGGCATGTTCACAGTGACCTGGGAAGCAGATAGAGTGCAGGGGATGGAGATACTTAAAGTACCGGTTGGAAATGCCTTTTCTGACAATATGTTCATCATATTTTGAGCTTCCTAGATGAAGTGACATTGCTTATCTCCTTGAAGGCAAAAGCATTAAACCTGTTTCTTCTTTGCTCTTCAGGAGAAAAGCTGCCCTTACATTCCTCCGAAGAAGCTCAAAATCTGATGGGCCAGTCATCAGGTAAAACACAAAGCTAGAGGGAAATAAGCAGGCTTTGGTTGAAATATATATATTCCATTATAGGACCATGCCATTGTTGTGCTCTGAGAGGAATCGTGGTATTTGTGGAGAAGACAGCAGGTTCTCTTGGTGGGCAGGGAGAGGCCAGGCACCACTGTTCTCCTTTGTTCAGCATGTCAAAAGAAAAGTGCCTGGACTTTATTGCCTGGTTTTGTGATATTCGTGTATAACTGCCATAGAATCACAGAACATCCTGAGTTGGAGGGACCCACAAGGATCATCGAGTCCAACTCCTGGCCCTGCACAGGACAGCCCCAAGAATCCCACCATGTGCCTGAAAGTGTTGTCTAAACACTTCTTGAGCTCTGTCAGGTTTGGTTCCATGACCACTGCCCTGGGGAGCCTGTTCCAGTGCCTGACCACTCTCTGGGGGAAGAACCTTTTCCCAATATCCAGCCTAAACCTCCTCTGACACAGCTCCAGCCGTTCCCTCAGGTCCTGTCACTGGTCATCAGAGAGCAGAGGTCGGTGCTGCCCCTCCGCTGCCCCTCATCCGCCATGAGTTCTCCCTCAGTGCCATCTGCGTAATGGGAGGATATCAGAGTCATCACCCTTGTTCCTTCATTTAATTTTGCCTAAACTTTGCTCAGAAACAGCAGAAAAGTGCCGGTGGGAACAGCAATGACATGCAGCTTTAGCCATCCTCAAGCCATTCAGGGTGAGTTGCAATTTTAGCGGGACAGGACCCTGAGGAGCCAAAGCATGGCTGCAGCCTTGGAGAAATTTTGATGGCAGATGTCCCACATTCATCTGTATGTGCGGGATGGATTTGTCTTTTGTTACCTGCCATTGCTTAGAGGAGTTATCCTGAGACCTGGAGGCTCACAGGCAGTATGAGCCAGACCTCCCCAGGCACTCCTGGGACACACAGCCATCCCATGCATGCCTCAGAAGTTTGGGAATGTCACCTAACCATGAAAGCAAACGTAGCCCAAGTAGATAGACCCCACAAGACTGTAGAAGTAGAGATTTTGTGACGCTGACCTGTGCAGTCATGTTTTCTGCATGTCCTCTTTGCCCTTTGCAGTCACCCAAGGCACTAATCCTGCCCTGACACCTTCATTATAGCCTCAGGGACTGCTTGTGCATATCAGAGAGGGAGGATCTGGAGTGCTAAAATAAACCAGTCTCCAGGTAATGGGGAAGCCATTCCTTGATGGCTCTGTGATGCAGGGATGGTGCAGTACCATGGCACCTTGTGTCCCAAGGGCTTTCAGCAGCACCCATGGCATCTGAGTGTGGGATAGGAGGTGCCACCTGTGAGTCTGAGGAGCTTAGCTCGTATTCCCAAAGAACCCTGGATGTCTCAGTGCTGCTCTGAGCCCATCCCCAGTGCCCTGCTCCCTTCAGAAGACATTTTCTGCCATACCCAGGCTGCTACTGAGCTGAGCCTTGTAACGCATGACCGAGAGGCTGGGACACCCTCCTCTGAGGGGCATGTCTGTGTTAGGTGCAGTCCACCTTGCCTGAACTGTGAGGAAGCTCAGTGTGGAAGACAGTCCAGGGCCGGTGAAATGTGTGCTGTAAAGTCAGCGTTGAGCATTGCCTGTGGTGTAATACCCGGGCAGGATCTGTTTTGTGCAGGGTTTGGCATTAGTACCCCTGGCAGGGGTGGAGGACAGCAGAGGGCTGCCTAGTGGAGGATTTGCATCCCCAGTTCCAACATCTCCTCTCCTCTCCGTGCTCCCAAGTGAAAAATGTGGTGAGGAGACCTCCTGCAAGGGAGGTGTGTCTGGGAAGCTGCATTCAGGAGAGCGCAGGACTCACAGACTCGTAGAATCATGGAATCATTTGGGTTGGAAGGAACCTTAAAGCCCATCTCATTCCAACCCCCTGCCAACCCCCACTAGCCCAGGTTGCTCCAAGCCCAGTCCAGCCTGGCCTTGAACACTTCCAGGGATGGGGCAGCCACAGCTTCTGTGGACAACCTGTGCCAGGGCCTCCCCACCCTCACTTCCTAACAGCCTAACATCATGCACGAGCACATCAAAGATACCTGGAGCTCCTCTTCCTCAGTGCTGAGGCCCTCGATGGAAATATGTGAGGGATTTGGAGCTGCTGCTGTCTTCTTTTGCAGCAGCCCTGCATTTCCAGTCTCCTTATTCTCTTTTTTCTGCACCTGCTTACTCCCCTTTCCACAGATACAGACCTGGCAGTCTCCTGTGCTCTAAAAAGCCTTTATCAGTGATTTATATCATAAGGATAAGGAGGGGTTTTTTTCCAGTTACTGCAAATTCCTGTCAGCCACCAGACAGCTGCTTTCTTGCAGATTTGGCATAGGACATCCCTGCTTTGGCACTGAGGTGATTTAATATGGAAAATCATGGGAGAGGCAGGCTTTGACCTGGCCTAGGAACGCTATGGCATGGTGTCCTCTTACCTCTGGAGCTGCACATACAGGGTATCCCCCTGGCTCCAGCCATTCCCACCATGGGGGAAAGAGCTCTCCCTGATCCAGGAGAGGCTGGGAGGAAGCACGCCTCTGCCTTTGCTCTTCAACACGTAATTTTGTAGGGAAGCAGGATCTGAATCTCCATACTGTTTATCTTGCTTTCCCTTGGGAATAGGAGGGACAGCTGGTCCTGGGTCCAGCTAGGTTGCATGTCTTAGCAGTCTGGTTTAAATTTAGGGTGAGTCTGTGGGGCTTTAACTTGCAAAGGACTTGTGCCAGTGCTGCCGGATCCCCTGGGGAAACCGGTTTTGGGGCACCAAGCTGCTGTCATACCCAAGCAGCTCAATGCTGCTGCATGCAGAGAGGGCTGGAGGGTGCATGGACAGCACTCCTGCTGGGCTGGTGGGTGTCCTGGCCAGCATGCTCTCTGCTGCTGTGTGGAAAGATGTTTTTCCCACCTCTCTTTGGTGATGCTGGAACCTTGCACCCTCCTCTGATGCCATTCCCAGTGGGAGGATGAAGGGTGGGAAGCGAGGCACTCATGGGGCAGCTCAAGGGATGCAGGGAAGGTGACGCCCAGCTCCAGCAGAGTCAGGTAGCAACCATCTTCCCCCTCCTTGTCCCAGAGTGTGTGATCCCCTTCCCCTCCCACCCCGGAGCAGGACGCAGCCTTTGCAGTGTTGACTGTTGCGGGAAAGCAGCGGAGCTCCATCGTGCTGCCTCTGCAAGCTATAATAACCATGTCTCCTTGCATATGCCCAGGTTTGGATGCCAGTCCCCCGGCCAGTACTCATGAACTCACCATTCCCAATGATGTAAGTAAATCCAAGTGCTTCCTTGGCATGTCTGTGTGTGCGTGTGCGTGGACACAGATATCTATATGTGTGTGTGTGTGTATATATAAGCTGCAGCCATATGGCTTTGTTAAATATATTTAGAGATGCCCCTTCACCATGTTCCCTCATCCACGTGCAGTCCGTTGGGGATCAACCTGCAGCATAAAATGCCCACTGGACTTTACCCCATCGGTAGCTTCCCTAGGTACAATCCTTAATGCTCTATTTCCCTTTCCAAGTGAACTCAGTGCTCATGAAACATGCCCAGTTGACAGCACTGGGAAAGGGAGAGAGCTCCCATGCCAGCCCTGATTAAACTCTTAATTGCTTAATCAGGCACTGGCACGTCTGAGATGATGTTTCAGCTTGAGGGTAGTGAGTGGGCTGGGGGTGGTGGTGAAGAGGAGGTAAGTAAATAACATTTCTCATGCCACAAAGTGCCACACAAGTGTGTGAAGGACGGTGCGTCTCAGTGCTGGTGACAGGCAGCTTTGGGGTCTTAACAGATGGAGGTGTTGTGGGTGTTGGACTGGGATATTTGCTGGGACGAGGCTGGAGTCATGCTGGGCAGGGTGCTTGGGGATGCTCCGGTGGAAGGAGGTGGGATGGAGAGCACAACGCAGCCAGCCCCTGGATTCGTGTGTCTCACTTGCTTCTGGACTGGCCCACCGGTTTCTATGGATTAAGAACCAGTCTGTGCTCAAATCAGGAGGAGGGCGAGCAGGGGGATGACAGCCAGCCTCTGTCCCCATCTCCATCACCAGCAAGCACCTTCAGCCCATCCTCATCAGGAGTCTCTGGATGGGGTCTGGCAGCTGTTGCTACCCTTCCTGCTGTTCACCAACACCCAGCAGCACGAGGGAAAGGCAGCGAGCCCGGCTGCAGCTGCCCGGCACCTCTGCCAAGACCTCCTTCCGCCCGAGAGACGTGGCAGTGCAACAGCTTCTGAGCATCTGCTGGCTGAAACCCTCGGAGATGCTTCACCCCAGGGCCAACCACCATGGAGGGAATCTCCAGAGGAGTCTGTGGGAGATTAATTGCCAGTCTGCATCTGTCTGTCCAGCAAGGACCCCTCTCCAGGAGACTGCAGGGAGCTCTGCAAGCGCTCCTGAGGTTCCAACAGCCATGTCTGTGGAGCGTGGAGGACCGTAGTAATCTTTACAAATATCAAGAGACCCCTCACAAAAGGGGAGGAAAGGATGCCAGGGGACCTCCCAGAACCCAGGAGCACTCAGAGCATTCACTCGCCAGAGACCCGGCTCTCAGCAGACCTGGGCAGCATTAAATGTCATCACCTGCATCTTGAAAAATTCCTCCCTACCTCTTTCTCCTGTTGTTCTGAAGGCTTTTAAACACTGCCACCTTCTCAGGAAGCAGAGGACAGGTTTGATTTTCTTTAAGGGTCTCCTGGATTGTTTTAGTGGTATAGCTTGGAGTTGTGCTGCAGTTTAAGGGAGTCTGATTATAAACATCTCGCCCCTTCTCTGATTGTCAGGAGAAACTTGAATGCTGTTCAAGTTGGGTGTTGCTGGACATCTGCCTGAATAGTGTGATTCCTCATGTGTCACTGTCAGATTTTCATTTGCTGAAGAATCCCTGAGTTATTTCTGTGCTCTGAAGACCAGGATGGGTGGCCACTGGGCTGAACAACCCACCACAGCCCCTGAGACAGTTGATACCCTTCCAGTGTATATTCAAGTCCGTATGGGACAAACCATCATATGGGAGCCCCATGGTCTGACCAAAGGATCAGCGAACATTTGGAGGAGTAGTCATCTCCACTTCTGCCATGGCAGAAATCCAGCAGCTGCCAAGATGAACATCCCACATATAAAATGTCCAGGCGCAACCTTAGAAAAGAGCTCAGATGTCCAAAAGGGGATGCAGAAACACCTCATGCCTGCGTTGGCCAATATGGGTATCTTGCTATGTGTCACCAAGCTTCAGAGATCAAGTTTGAGGGAGCCATCATGTGGTGCACAAATGAACGAAAACAAAGACCATTGAGGAAATTCAAGCCATCGAGGTCCATTGAGGAAATTCAAGGGATGGACATTTGCGGATATTCAAACCTCCAGCTGGCTCTGATTTTTTCACAAGAGCGTGAAAGATGTGTTTTTAAGTAGGAGTCACCTCTTCTGCAGGTGCCACAGCCACATGGTGCTCTCCTGAGCGTGCCAGTGAGCCATTGGATTGCACTGAAAGAGCTAGAGGGGGTAACAGAGGCACTTAGGGCATCCCAGTGGGGTAGAAGGAATGTGGGAGGGGGCTCCTGAGGTTGGGCTGTCCCCAGCGAAGGCAGAGGGCTTGTTTCCTTCTAGTAACATGTCCAAACCACCTTTGGGTTTGCTGTAACTGGCAAAAGGGATAAGTAACTTGCAAAACATTGCCCATTTATTAGACCACAAAAATTATTATTACTGAAATGAGCCCTCCTTGAAGCCCCCCGAGATGCTGGGCATGGTGTGTGGATACTGGAGGTTTTGCCTCCACAAGGAGCAGAGCAGGGCAGGCTCCTGGATGAGCCCTGGGAGGACCATGCTCACGTGCAGGTGGGATTCACCCCCCGGGCTGTCCCTCTCCTATTTTCATGAGCACTAAGGTCACACGTGTCCCAGGGCCGTGCAGTTGTGCTCGCGTCCCGCTGGCGACGGCCAGAGCTGCCGCTTCTCAGACGTTCCCTCCGTGCTTTTTTTCCCAGCTAATAGGCTGCATAATCGGACGCCAAGGGACCAAAATCAATGAAATTCGGCAGATGTCGGGAGCGCAGATTAAAATCGCCAACGCCACGGAAGGGTCATCGGAGCGCCAAATTACCATCACAGGAACCCCTGCAAACATCAGCCTTGCGCAGTACCTCATCAACGCCAGGTGAGACCCCCCGCAGACCTCCGCCACCTCCTGCCACGGCCGATCCCATCCTGCTGGCCTGGTGGGAGCAGCCCTCGCTCCCGGCACCGCGGGCCAGGAGGGGCTTCCTGAGGCCGGCTGGGATGGATGGTGTCTTGCTGAGAGCTCTGAGCGGGGACCAGACGTCACCAGCGGGACATCTCCCTCCAGCCGGCGCTTTGGCTGGGGACTGGGAGCTGCTTCACCGCCGGCGGGTTGTGCCAGTCACCTGCTCGCCCGCCACCCTCGCTCATGGATTTTGCTCACGGGTAGGGCAAAATCACCGCCGTCTTTCTCTGTGGATGAGGCAGGGGACGGGGACAGGGATGGAGCTGAGCCGGTGGCAGGGAGGCATCACTTGGGACCTGCTTGCTGGGATCCCAGCGTCGCTCACTGCCTCTTCCACGTGCTTCCAGACCTCCCAAAGGCTTTCCTCCAATCCAGTGAAAGTAATCAGTCCAATAAGTGCAAGACATGGGAACGGCCTGATTGCTTCCTTTTCATCATGAAAAGCTTGGCGCAGCAGGACTTCGCAGCGGCCAAGGGTTCCCAGAACTGCTGCAGGCTAGGGGGAGATGCAGCCCGTGCCGAGGGGGACCAGGGGTCCAGCAAGGGACTGCGAGGGGAGCACGCAGGGGAGGTGTAGCTGGGGACTAGCTCCGTGCTGTCAGTGAACTGTCTCCAGGGTGCTCACTCAGACCTGTTTGCCTGTGTGTGTGGACTCGTGGATAGCGAGTTTAAGGGGATACAGGACCTTTTACTGGCTTTGCACCCACCTGGCACAGCCACACAAGCAAGCCCGTCCACCTGTCTGTGTCCTCCGCTCCGGGCAGGATTGATGCCGTGCCAACGCGTCAGATGTGTGCAGCTGCAGGAGGCTGCTGGCAGGGTCCCTAGGACGGGGGGCTGTTGGCGGCGACTCTGACATTTGTTGGGGTGTGGGCTGGGAGTACCGGTGAGGTCTGTATGTGCTTTCTCCTCCTTGCACCCAACCCACCTCAGCCCCGACCCGCTATAGACCCCCATCATCCCATCCCACCCTGCTGTCCCGCTGCCCATGCCCGTGGCACCTCTCCACCTGCTTAGGTGAGGGGTGGGGCCAGCCCCCCGCGGGCATGGCTGAGCCCACAGCTCCTTGCCAATCCCCCCTCCACCTCCTGAGACAGGAGAGAAAGAAAAGAAAACCAAGTGGCTCTTCGTTGCTGGGAAGGGCTGGCTGAGCTGCCCCCTGTGCAGAGACGACCTGATGGGGAGGCAGGATGGGGCTCAGCCTCTCCCACAGTTTCCAAAACCAGAGCAAAACAAAGCAGCAGGGGGAGATGGCACAGCTGCCTGTCCCCTATGGGAGAGACGCTTCTAGAAGAGAAGCCGTGCGCTGGGTTGTCTCCTGCCTCTGGTGGGTGACATCTCTGCTACAACACGGTGATGGTAACGGGCACTACCTGGCAGCTGTGAGGAGTGGGGAAGGCAGCCAGCCATTATGCTGGCTCTATGCTCCAGCCCCCTGTGCCCTCCACGGGGGACCCCAAGCCACCCAGAGATGCTCTGCCCACCCCGTCTAAGCAGGGCGTAGGCAAGAGGAGGAGCACTGCCCCACAGGGTCTTCGTTTTCTTTTCTGCTCCGGTGATTAAGCGCTTGTTTTTTGTCTCCCCCCCACCCCTCTCTCTGCCCCTGTCTATTCTAGGCTGACGTCTGAGGTCACTGGAATGGGCGCACTCTAATTTCCACCCACCATCCTCCACTCCGCACCACCTGACCCTCTCCAGCCACCGGCACTCCACCCAGCCTGTACTGCCTGTACATTTACCGTCTTCCCTTTGCCTCCACAGATACTCTTTTCTTTACTAACGAATATATATATATATATATATAAACACACACGCGCATATGCACACACCGGAACGGTTCTTTACAAGCTCCTTGCTGTGCTCCCAAGGCTGCTCCCAAACACTTTGGTTATGGTCCTTATTTTCAGCGTACGGTGTTAATACTTCATCTGCTTTTTGGGGATGGGGGGGGGGTGTTTTTTTTCTCGCTGGTGAGACTTCAGGAGATGACAAGGTCTCTAGTGTCAGTCTAGTGTAGCTACTTACACGTTTGAGTTGACATTGGCAGTACTTTCTGTAGCCTATGGACATATGTGATGCCAACCAGAGCTGTGCGTGCTTCAGACGAGTTACTTTTCTCACCCTTCTTCCTTTGGTGCTCCCTCTTGCTTGTCCTGGCTCACCTTTGCCACCTCACATCCCTGCCCTCAGGGTACGGGCGTAGTTTTCACCCTGTGTCGTTTGGGAAGCGGAACGCGCGGGAGCCGAGCTGACGCGCGTGCACAGGTTCACCCGCAGGCTTCTCTCTTTGAACATGGCATGGTCCAGACAAGCCCTTTTTCATACCAAATTAAGGGAATCACACACACACACACACGCGCGTATACACAAATGCTCCTTTTTTTTTAACTAACGAGCAACTGGAAGTGGGAAGAACTCAGCTGTATGGGATTCACACCCCCAGGGGCCTTTGAAAGCACTCTTTTGGCAATCCCCATGGGCAAAACCTTTGGACGATAGCTCAGGAAGCTCTGTGAGCTGGCTGTGTTTGTCGTTGTTTGTGTTCAATAAATGTCTGTGCAGCTCTGGTACCAATGGGCTCCGACTGTTCTTCTCCTGGGTCGCCCCACCAACTCCAGCCCCATCCTTCCCTCTGCATCCTCCCACACCTTTTTAGCTGCTTGGAGGGAAGGTGGGGGTTGTATACAATAGTTCTTCATTACTATTATTATTATTACCATCACCATCGTAATTTTTTATTTTATTTTGTTTAGGGAAGATCCCCAGGAGTGATGCACTTCCTGCATGATTCCATGCTTTCTGTCTTTTTCCAAAGGGAGAGTATTTGGCTTGCGTAATCTTTTGGTTTTCCTTAAGATTAATTTATAAGTTATGGTACAACAACCAACATCTCTCACTGCCCCCTTGTCTGGACGGATCTGCCATGTCTGTGCCCCACACCCTTCCCTAAGACCCTCTATGCCCAATCCTGCCTTCTGCTTCCAGGCTTTTATTCTCTCTCCTACCTCTCAAATCAGAAAACAAATATGTTTTCTGCCTGTTAATTCCTGACTGTCCCTTTTCTCAGACTGCAAATGAGGGGATCATGATACACCATGTCCCCAGACAGCTGAAGCAGCCGCACTGTACATTTTTGCACTGTACCACATGGGAAATATATTGTTTTTCCAGGTGAGCCCCAAGACTTCATGGCCTTTCCCTCTCTTCCACCCTCAGTGCCGGCAGGAACCGCTGGCAGCTTCCCACCTTTCTCCTGCCGGGATGCTGGATCACTTCTCTTCCTGTCTTCAGCGCTGACTGCTCAGCACTCACACAGGGCTGCGTCAGGGACCCCGGGTGATGCCACCGCATCAGTGGAGCCAAAGATGGGCAGGGGGTTATGGGCTCCAGCAGGGAGCTGGCAGGGATGAGAGCACAGCCGAGGAGCCCTGGAAGGTGAAGGTGGCTGCCAGCCCCTGCTGCCGAGCATCAGCCATTTGTTCAGCCCAGGTGTCCTAAAACCCATGCATGCTCAGCTCTCTGGAGCATTCCAAGCCTCTGTGGTTACAGGTGCTTCCAGATCCTCCATAAGATGCTTTGCTGCCCATCCCCAACCCCTTGCTCTGCTCTTCCTGGCGCTTTGGGTTCAGCTGTGCCTTTTGGGTGGTCCAGCAGCAGACATGCTGAAGACTATCCCCTGATTCCCCATCTGGAGAAGTGCAGATGCTTTGGGCAGTGCTGCTGTGGGCTCAGGTGGAGCCAGTAGCCTCTGCTGACATCATCTCCCCCTTGTATTTGTGCTGATGCTGAGGATGGAGGGAGTCAGGCACCAAATGGTTCCTCCCCCAAGTTGCTGACTGGCCAGCACAAGCACAGAACCACCTGCCAAGGTGGTGCGTCAGTTGTGGGCAACTGGCACTCCTCATCTTCTCCTGTTCCTCACTCTCCTTTAGACCAAGTATTTTTCCCATTGAAGGAACGAGATATCCATGTGCGAGACCCAGCATGAAAATAACCACCCAGCACGAAAATAACCACCCAGCAGTGTGCCAGAGCCACCCCAAAGGCCTGGGGGGGTGCCATGGCAAAAGCTCCACATCCCCACTGCCACCACCCTGCATGGCAGCCAGTGGCGTGGGGTGATGCCTCCTCCTCGGAGGACGGTGCATGGAGAGAGCCAGCCCACCCTGCCATTGTCAGCTCCTCCATGGGGCTGCAGGACAAGCCAGAGCACAAGGAGACCTTCCAGGTGATGGAGGAACAGCAGCAGCAGCAGCATGTTGACCAAGGCCGAGAAATCCATCACAAGCCAACACAGTTGTGGGGTTTGTACATCTGGGAGCGCAAGCGCATCCTGATGGCAACGAATGTGGAAATGGCTTTGCCCGGGAATTGGCAGTTCCCACAGATCACATCTGCCCTGAATTCCTTTGCTCTGTGTGCGCTGTGCTCCCCGTGCTATTCTCCACCTCCACTGAGACAGCGCTGCCCAAAATAGCAAATGCCAGATTGGGTCTGCCAGATGCAGCCGAGCTCAGAGGCTACTGGAGAGGGGGAGCAGACAGCAGCAATTCCTCTACACCCATTCCCACACCAGCAAACCCACGGATAACATCCCCCTCCAGGTGCCATCCCCATTCCAGCCTGCTGCCATGCATCTATCACCCAGCAAGACTGTGGAAAAGACACCATAGGAATTGTTGGTGAAGGAGAGGAGGTTGGATATAAGCATTGCTCTGGCATCAGGCCGGTATCCAAGACGTTGTGTCAAGGCTTGTGCTGCAGCAAGGACCTACCTGTGCTCAGGGAAGTGCTCCAGGGAATGGTGGATATGGCCACGGGGGACAAGGGGCAGACCAGGCAGAAGCAGTCACCTCAGGAGAACTGTACAGTCATAGAATCATGGAATATCCTGAGTTGGAAGGGATCCACAAGGATCATCCTGGCCCTGCACAGGACAACCCAAAGCATCCCTCCTGCTGGCATGCCCTTTGACTTTGCAATTTCTCTTTAATCAGCTTATCATCTGGGCTTGAGCGTGGTTTGGAGAAAGAGGTGTTGGAACCACTGCAACATCTCCTGGGATCATGTTGATGATAAGGAGGATAACAACAAAATCACAAGGAATGTATCAAGCTCGGCTTTGATTTCTTCACGATGGCTCAAAAGGAGATTTGCTGCTTTCTTTGGAAGGAGCCTCAATGTTTTGCTTTGATTTGCGATAGGTCTTGGGTTTCCAATTTGGATGAACTTAAAAATGCTCCAGTGATGCATACACAGCCATGCCACTGGGAAAAATTTCTAATATTGTACTGAATATTCCATACAAGGTGAACGTCCCAGTTAATCAACTTTAATACATTGTTTTTCTCTCCCAAAACAATGCATTTTATCCAGCCAGAATAATTCAACATTTCTGGAAGCAACCAGCTCAGTCAAACTCTTTGGGAATTAGTTATTTTGTGGGAAATTGTGACTCTGACTGGAAAGTATTGGTCCAATGCCCCCAGAGTGTGGGGGTCTCCATCAGAGAGGGGCCAGTTGAGGTCTGTGCTCAGTCCCTTCCCCTCAGCTGAAGGTCTCCACTGCCCCTACATATCCTTGTTGTGCTCCCAAAATTGTTTGGAGTATTGTTACATGCTATTTTTTTCCCCCTAGACTGTATTTGCAAATCTAGTACATAATAAGGTTGAAAAAAATAGACTGTTTTCCCTAAGGGAAAGTGACTTTCACCAGGGAGACTCTTTAAATTTCATACTCTCTCTGAGCTGTTTTTCAAGGATTTGTTATGTATCCATGCTAGTCACTTTTAATTATGCTAATTCCAAGCTTATGGTCCATTAGCAAGGGTAATTTCCCCCCTCCGGTGCCGGCAGAGGTAGGGTTTCTGGGGGATCACTGTGTGCTGTGGCAGGGATGAATGCTTAGCCTCATTTTCTCCTCGGCCACTGGGATGGAAGGCATCTCTCCTAGCCCTGCCTGGCTGCAGCCCCCAGCCCCGGGGAGGTATCCCTGTCCCCAGCCCTGGGGCCCCCCCGGCTGGTCGCTAGGTGTCCCCATTGACCAGCTTTTGCATGCCTCCTGCTCCAGCTGGGATGTGGGAAGCACTGGGATGTCCACTGCTTCCAGCTGCTGATCCATCTGCGTGCAGAAGACATCCCACGCTGCTGGAAAGGGAGTGGGGTTTTGTGTGTGTCCTCCCCCCACGCTGGTGACGAGCAGTGACATCCACTGAGCGCGTGGCTGGCACCGTGTCCCACTGCAGGAAGGGTCCCATCAGTGCTGGGACCTTCCTTGAGCCACCTCAGCCCATGTGGGCAAGGACACATGACAGGCATCTCCTTGGCCATGGGTGTCCCCACACTCTCGGGATATACCGGCTGTGCCAAGGGACAAGGTCGGTGGCACAAGCCACCACCTTACGCTGGCCCAAGGCCGTTCAGTCTGGCAGAGGGACAAGGTTTTGCTGGAGAGGTCCCAAGGGTTTCCACCCCTTGTAGTCTCTGGGGAGGCCAGCACTCGCAGGCGGGATGCTCTGTGTCTTGGCTGGCGGCAGGAGCGGCTGCAGCTGGCGGAATGACTTGCAGAAAGGTCAAGGTCCCAGTGCAATTCCCCTGCTCCCATGTTGGATATCACAGGGAGCTGGGACTCTGCTGAGGGGGATATTTTTGCTCTCCCTTCAAAAAGAATGCAGCTGCAGATCTTAATCTGCTGTGCTGTGCAGCGAGCCTCAGGCCCCTGTCCAAAGGGTAACGTGGCAGTGACTTTTAGGAAGTACTGAATGTACCAGATGTGCAACTCCTTCCAGTCCAGATGTGCAATCCCCCTCCCACTCTGCCTCAGTGCAGTTGTCCTGCAAAGAGGAAGATGAGACTCTAGATCACTCAGAAAGCATCCCGCAGACTAAATCCAGCCAAGTGCAAAGCCAGACTGGCTCTGGATTCCCACACTTGTGTTTAGGCAGTTTAACCGCAGAGATGTCTCTTCCCAGAAATGACGCTCGTGCCCGCTCCACACGTGGGGAATAAAACCAGCCAGAAGATGGAGAACAAGAAGGAGCAGCAGGAAGAGGCTTCACGTCTGAGTGCCTCACTGAACCACAGCCTGTGGCTGATTCAAAACACACGTGCTATTTCTAGAAGGAACTGCTTTGATCCCAAAAGAGAAGGCTGTGATGTGCATGAGGACTTGAATATTTGAAGCACGCTTGAAGCACTGTGTCCTGGTTCCCTGCAGGCACTGTCACTATTTATTCCTAGAGAAAGCCTGTGTCTGAGAGCATTTGCATCTGGATCTAAAAGGGGATGAGTGACGCTTGGCCCTAGAGCTTCTCCAGGTTTTGATGCATCACATGAGACTTGGTGGTGCAGGATGCTTCATGGAAGCAGGGGCACAGCAGAGGAGTGAGATGTGCTGTGGAAGTGGGGGCATGGTGGTGATGGGCCACCACAGCCAGCTGGCAGCATGGAGAGAGCAGGATGGAGGGATGGAGCAGCATCCCTCTGGAATTCAGGGTTGCATGCATAGCTTGGGATCAAACCACAACGGATATCCAACAGGATTTCCCAGCTCAAAGGGGAGCAAGACGGGA